TCCTTCCTCTGCTTATTACATTTCCTAGAACAGTTATGAAAACCTGCATACGATAGCGTTAAGAAAGAAACGTTAATGACACTCCAACCGCATACAAATAATTTTTCGACCTCAGTAAATTCATCAGCTTTTCAAATACATGTTCTGTTGTATGCTCAAATTTCAGTGATCAATGAGGATTCAGCTCTGAGGTTCTGAGAGAATCAATAAATAAATAAATGCGTTTGAAAGTCTATAAAAGAGGATGTTACGAATTTAAGCAGGGAATCATATTCAAATGATGCAAAATGAAATAACCTGCATTGCCCATTCAATAATTTGACTGATTTCGATATCAGCCGTGCTGCGAAGATAATTAAACAAGGATCCACCCTCGGCGAATTCTGCAAGTTAATTCTGATAATATCTTCCGACTTTCTGCCGAATTTTAACGATACTGATGAGTTTGCACTTGAATGTATAAACAATTCTTATAAGCAACCAATACCATTCCGTCTAACAATAGCTGGTGAGAAAGTGCTTGACTATTGCAAATTTTGAAGCATCAAGAGGGAATTTATTACTCGAACTTTGTAAGTATCAGAAATTCAGTTCAATAAGCATAAAACGCTGTTTTTTGAAAAATATTCTGATTTCAATGGATGCAACATGGACTGGTCACTTTTGACCATGCTTTTTTACAGTGAATCATTGCATATTAGTTTGCTATGTGCCTAAAATAAATATTGAACGGGTGTGAAGTTCAAAATTCGAAATTTATAGTTAACCTGTGACGATGATGAAATTATGTTTATCTTCCGAAACACCGTAGAACTCAATTACGTTTCGGTGACGTATTCGCGATAAAATATCCACCTGAATTTACTTAATATGGTGATAGTCATTATTACAACACATCACGAAGTTATGGAACATTCAACAATTAGAATAAATATACGCTAAAAGTAATGCAAACAAAGTGCGATTCAATCCTCAAAGAAACGAGAATACTTCACTGAAAAAATGAACGCACCTCTTTTTCCAGCATTTGTAGCACAGAAACTCTACGTAAAATTTTCGGATATACGTGGAGGGATAAGAAATGTACGGAGCAGTGAGTAAAGTGCTGAAGAAGCAACATCAATCACTTATAAACCAGCCGAACGGTGATGATATAAGCGTGTTCTATCCACCCCTTAAATACTTTAGTTTCCAACGCTTATGAATACTTATCAGTGGATTGCAATATAATCGTAAATAAAATTTTTTTGATCGCACCAAAAATCTCGTGAGAACGATTTTTTCAATAAGAAATCAAACATTAAGATAATCAAATGAAGCTTATAGTTTAATGATGCCCCTTCCAAAGGCAGCTAAATTCATTACTGATA